TCATCGCCTTCGTAGCCTCAACCTGCTGGGCTCAGGCAATGATGATCCCTCTGCCTCAGCCTTCCAAGTAGCTGAAACTACAGGCATGCACCACCACACCTGGCTAATTTTTTGATTTATTGTAGAGACGAAGTCTCACCAAGTTGGCCAGGCTGGTCTTGAACCCTTGAGTTCCGGTAATCCTCTCACCTTGACCTCCCAAAGTGCTGGGATTATAGGCTTGAGCCACAGCGCTGGCCCTGTTTTGTTTTTCTTCTTTTTTTGAGTTGGAGTCTTACTCTGTCACCCAGGCTGGAGTGCAGTGTCATGCTCACGGCCACTGCAACCTTGACCTGCTGAGTTCAGGTGATTCTTCCTGCCTCAGCCTTCCAAGTAGCTGGAATTACAGGCATGCACCACCACACTCGGCTAATTTTTTGATATATTGTAGAGATGAGGTCTTGCCAAGTTTTCCAGGCTGATCTCGAACCCACACGCTCAGGCAATCCACTCATCTCGGCCTCCCAAAGTGCTGGGATTACAGGTGAGCCACTGAGTATGGCCCTTGTTTTGTTTTTCAAATGATCTTTGTTGACGTAAAAATGTACATACAATTTGATGCATGTATCTTAATGCACAGTTCCACATGTATTGGCAGTATATGTACCCATGCGATCACCACTTCTATAAAAATATAGGACATTTTCATCACCTTGGAATATTCCCTTGTGTGCCCCTCACAGGCAATCTTTACCCCATTTCCGGCCACAGGCAAATACTGATCTGATTTCCATCATTATAGATTGGTTTTGCTCGTTTTAGAACTTTATATAAATAGAATATAGTATTACTCTTCTGTGGCTGGCTTCTTTCAGCATAATGGTTTTGAAATTCATCCATGTTGTACATATTAACATCTTATTTGTTCTTTTAACAACATTTTTTTTTATTTTTAGTTGGAGTCTCACTCTGTCGCCCAGGCTGCAGTGCAGTGGCATGCCCATAGCCACCACAGGCTCGACCTGCTGGGCTCAGGCAATTCTTCCGCCTCATCCTCCCAAGTAGCTGGAACTACAGGCACGGGCCACCATGTCTGGTTAACTTTTTTTATTTATTGTAGAGATGAGATCTCACCAAGGTGCCCAGGCTGGTCTTGAACCCCTGGTCTCAGGCAATCCTCCTGCTTCGGCCTCCCAAAGTGCTGGGATTACAGGCTTGAGCCACCGCACCTGGCCCTTTTAACAGCTTTATTGAAATATAATCTATAGCCGGGCACAATGGCTCATTCCTGTAATCCCAGCACTTTGGGAGGTGGAGGCGAGAGCATTGCCTGAGACCGGGGGTTTGACACCAGTCTGGGCAACTTGGTGAGACCTCGTCTCTATAATAAATCTTAAAATTAGCTGGGTGTGGTGGTGTAGTTCCAGCTACTTGGAAGACTGAGGCAGAAGTATCACCTGAGCCCAGCAGGTCAAGACTGCAGTGGCCATGAGCGTTCCACTGCACTCCAGCCTGGGTGACAGAGTGAGACTCTGACTCAAAACAACAACAAAAAAAGAAATATAATTCATATACTGTAAAATTCTCCCTTTTAAAAATTAGACAGTCAAAGCCAGGTGCAATGGCTATCACCTATAATCCCAGAATTTTGGGAGGCGGAGGTGAGAGGATTTCCTGAGCCCAGGGGTTTGAGACCAGTCTGAGCAACCTGGTGAGATCTCATCTCTACAATAAATCAAAAAAATTACCTGGGTGTGGTGGCACACACCTGTGGTTCCAGCTACTTGGAAGGCTGAGGTGGAAGGATCGTCTGAACTGAGGCTGCAGTGGCCATGAGTGTGCCACTGCACTAGAGCCTGAGCAATAGAGTGCAACTCCGACTCTAAAATTAACAAATAAATAAGACAGTCCAGTGGTTTATACAACATTTACAGAGTTGTGGAACCATCACAACCATATAACATTTTCATCACCCCCAAGAAAAAACTTGTACCCATTAGCAATCATTCCCCCTTCTTCCTTCTCCTCAGCCTCTGGCAACCACACTAACCTATTTTCTATCTCTATGGATTTTTTTATTCTGGACACTTCATATAAGTGAAATTTTACAGTATGTGACCTTTTGTGTCTGACTTCTTTCACTTGGCAATAAGTTTTCAAGGTTCATTCACATTGGTAGTGGCATGTATCAGTAATTAGTTTCTTTTCATAGCTGAATAATAGTCCATTATATGGATATGCCATATTTTACCCATGCATGCGTTGATGGACACTTGGGTTGTTTCCACTTTTTGGTCATTATACTGCTGTGAATATTTTGTGTACAAGGTTTTCCATGGACATATGTTTTCAATTCGTTTGGGTGTCTACCTAAGAATGGAAATGCTGAGTCATATGGTAACTCTATGTTTAACATTCTGAAGAACTGTTTTCTAAAGTACCCACAACATTTTACACTGTATTCATTTTTGTTGCTGAGTAATATTCTACTATTAGAATATACTACAAGTTGGGCTCGGTGGCTCAGCCTGTAATCCCACGCTTTGGGAGGCTGAAGTGAGTGGATTGCCTGAGCCTGTGGGTTCGAGACCCGCCCGGGCAACTTGGTGAGACCTCATCTCTACAATAAATCAAAAAATCAGCCGGGCGTGGTAGCACGCGGCTGTAGTTCCAGCTACATGGAAGACTGAGGCGGAAGGATCACCAGAGCCCAGCAGGTCGAGGCTGCGGTGGCCAGGAGCGGCCACTGCACTCCAGTCTGGGCGACAGAGTGAGACTCCAACTCAAAAAAAAAGAAAAGAAAATAATATACTACAGATTAATCAAAACATCATCTCTTCAAAAGGCATTATTATTTTCAAAATGAAAAGACAAACTACATTCTGGGTGAAAATATTTGCAATACATACATCTGATAAAGGGCTTGTACCCAAAGCATATAGAGAACTCTTGCAATTCAATAAGACAAATGATATGTTTTTAAAAATTAGTAAAATAAGTCACTTTATAAATGAAGATATACAAATAGCCAGTCAGCACATGAAACATGGTCAACACCATTAATCTCCTGAGAAATGCAAATAAAATTGCAGTAGTGTGCCTATAACACATATTAGAATGGCCAACACTAAAGACTGACAACATCAAACGTTGGCTTTGCTGTGGAATAACGGGAACCATCATACATTGACTTTGGAAATGTAAAATGGAACAACCCATTTTGAAAAAAGGGATTGGCAGTTTCCTACAAGTTAAACCTACACTTACATGACCCAGCAACTCCACTCCTAGGTATTTACCCAACAGAAATAAAAACATATATCCACACATAGACGTATACAGGACTGCTTAAAGGAGCCCTACTCACAACAGACAAACCTAGAAGTAACCCAAATGTCTATCAAAAGAAGAAAGAAATCTTCTTTTCTTTAAAATTTTTTTTTTTTGAGTCGGACTCTCACTCTGTCGCCCAGGCTGGAGTGCACACTCACAGCCACCGCAGCCTCAACCTACTGGACTCAGGCGATTCTTCCGCCTCAGCCTTCCAAGTAGTTGGAACTACAAGCGCGCGCCCGACGTCTGGCTAATTTTAAATTTATTGTAGAGATGAGGTTTATTGTAGAGATGAGGGCTCTCCATGTTGTCCAGGTTGGTCTTGAACCTGTGGACTCAGGCAATCCTCTCACCTCTGCCTCCCAAAGTGCTGGGATTACAGGCGTGAGCCATCACGTCCAGCCTCCATAACTATTTTATTTACTACTGTGCCCTCTGTGTCTGGCACGGAGTAAGAAAGAGTGCAATACATGTTCGGTGAACAAACGGAAGGATGCAAGCTATCATACATTCATGATTTTTGTTGTTGTTGAGTCAGTGTCTCATTCTGTTGCCCAGGCTGGAGGGCAGTAGCACGCTCCCGGCCACCGCAGCCTCGACCTGCTGGGCTCCGGCGATCCTTCCGCCTCAGCCTTCCAAGTAGCTGGAACTACGGGCATGCGCCATCATGCCCGGATAATTTTTTGATTTATTGTAGAGATGAGGTCTCGCCAAGTTGCCCAGGCTGGTCTCGAACCTCTGGACTCCCCTGCAATCCTCTCGCCTCGGCTTCCCAAAGTGCTGGTATTACATGCCTGAGCCACCGCGTCCTGCCTACATTCATGAATTTGCAGCCGCCATTCCTCGGGCCTTTTATTCCCTCATTCCTTCCACATGTACATGCTATCTGGACTAGGCTCGATGTGGTTCGCAGCCGGCCCGGGCAGGGGGCAAGTGCAGGTCACCGCTGCGGAGGCGCATCCCGCGGGGACCCAGGCGGCGGGAGACGCCGTGGCTGGCGCCGAGCAGAGGAATGTGCGCGGCGTCGAGCGCATACGAAGCGGCTGCAGGGCGCGCTCGGCCTGACAGCGGACAGCACCTGCCCGGCC